ATTATGCATTAATATGTAATATTATACGTATTAATTTGCGCAATATAACTTATTAATATCGTTGATGATTTATTATTATTTTTTTTTGCATAAAATTTTGTTATGATTTTATTGTGTAACCGTCATATACTTTTGGATCCTACTGTACATTGGGGAGTAGATGTAAATGCTTTTATATTTAATTAATGAATGAATCCTATCTAAAACAAAGTACTTGATAAATAATACATTTAATTTTATTGTAAGTTGCATTGGAATTCTTTAACGACACGGGTACATTTTAGAATTAGGTGAATTCTAAAATCTATAACGATAATAAATTCCATTCAGACATACACATAAAATATGTATATTATTTTTAGAAATTATGATTTAAAAACGATCAAGAGAAGAGGTCTTATAAAACCTTTAATTCAACCGTAGTTATATTACGTGAAAACAGAATAAAAAATTAAATTGCATTTCATTATTTTAAAAACATCTCAGTGGACCAAAAAAAAGTGACATTAGAAATGAAGTGAGATTGACAACATAAATCATAATAATAATAATAATAATAATAATAATAATAATATGTTTATACACTTTTATAGTTCTAGTTCTGTTCATTGATAGATTTTATTACCATAATATCGACCAGTGTCTTCGACCAAGAAATTTGGATTCACTTTACTGTGTTCGAATGAATAAACTTCAATAGAAACAACACCAGCTTCTTTCGGACTAACACACTCATTATTATGTAAAACAGGAATTAATTGGATATCAGAATAAACATCAAAAATCGCAGTTGGACTTAAAAGGCCTGTTGTAGTATTAACTTCTTGAAGAGATTCATGCGTTTGCGCTCGTATTCCCAATCGTATCATAGCTGCCGTAATATCGACGGTTCCCACAACAAAAGAATTATCATGAGCTTTATTACCACTCCACATACCAACAAGACCAGCATAATGAGGTGAAGTTGTTGGAGTTTGGATATTCGCAGTAGGTAAATCAATAAATACTCTAATGAGGTATGGACCAGCCAATTTACCTGGTTCTATAATCACCTTTACAAAAAATCTTTCTCCATAATGAGGATCAGGTTTATATAATTCAAGAAGATAAGATTGTATTTGTTTTGGACCTTGACTTTTTAATTTTTGCCATTCTAAATAAGTATACCCAAGTTTTTCAAAATCTCGAACATCAGAAGATTTCCAGAATTCGGTTTTTGTTTTTCGGAATGGTGTTAGATCAGTATTTTCATCTAATTCTTCGTTTATTAATTCTGTATAACTTCCATTGATATTAGGCTTTTTTGGAATCCAACTATCAGGAAATCTATATGTATAAATATGTAAAAAATAAAAATAAAAATAAATAAATAAATATATATATTAATATTTTTTGTTAATATTTTTTTTTTTATAATTAAAATTTTATTTTTATTTAAAAATAATACTTACGCTCCCTGCCAAAGTGCAAAAAGACGATCCATATTAGAATGATGGAAAAAGAATACAGGGTCAAATGTAGCTAGATCTACATAACCCATATGACCTCCAAGACCACCAAATAGTAAATGAAAAGCATCGTGAGTTGTTTCGAAAGAAGCAAAATGAGAAGTGCCATTAATTACTGTAGGAGGAGGATGACCACCAAATCTATTTGGCATTTGTGAATCATCTGATCTTACACCATGAGAACTAAAACGTAGAAAGTCTCCAAAATGAAATGTTTGATACCATCCAGGTTTAAATACCGTAGCAACATGTGAGGAGACATTACCGACTAATAAATCATCTTGATCTTCATAATTATTATCAGGATATCTTATTGTAGGATAACCAGCAGGAGTATATGGATTGTTTTTTAAATCTGGAACTATATAATTTGGTTTATCAGTTGGGTTATTGCCTTTTCCAAGGGGATGTGCAAGATCAACGGGTAAAGTAAAACTTTTCAACGGATTTTTGATTTTTTTTTTGCCTTTTGGAGTATTTATTTCAATTTCAGGAGTTATGAATACTTTCGGAATACCATTCATTGTCTTATTATCAGCCCAATCCCAATAAGGATGACGAAGTTGTTTTGAAGCTTCAATATATTTTTCTTTTTCGTTATCAGGGTATTGGTAAGCAATTTGTTGAGCTTCATTAACCAATAGAGATTCAATTAAAAGCATATATGGTCTATGCCATGTTGGAAATAAAACACTCCCATGATGACAATAACCACCAAAACGACCTGTCTGCCAATCAGTCTCATTTTTGTATTCATGAGCACCACCAGTAACACCATCATAAGGATCAAAAGGTAGTCCATGAATACCAGCAACTTGATAAAATGAACGCATATCATAATAAGGACGATCAAAAAGCGCCTGATAACTTTGAACCAACAAATCTAATTGTGGAGCGTATGCTTCATTATCGCAGAAATCCCAAATATCCAAACGTGGGTAAATATCTGAAAATGGTTCAACAACAACAGGACCAGATGTTGACACACTTCTCACATGAGAAATATGATAAGATGAAGAATGAGTTAATCCCATATTATATTCTTTACTATGAGGATTAATGTTGAAATCGAGGGGAAAAAATCAGTCATCTTTATACTGTTTTCTATGAAGTACTAAATATATTTTTTTAAAACAAAGATATTTTTCCATTTGAAATCTTGTAAGTGTTGCATAACATCAATTGTTAAAAAAAAATATGCCTCAGATGCATTATAATGCATAACAATTAAAGTATATTTATATATAGTATATCGTATTTTTATACGTATTATAATCTTTATATGTATTAGTTTTTATACTTTGAGATGATATTTCAAAAAGTGCTCTCTATATGCTTATGGCGGAAAATTAGTGTTACATTCATTTAGAGAGGGTATACATAATATATGTATTTATAGGGATGCATTTATTGGAAGGATATAATGGGATCGATTTACTTTTTTCATTGATAGATTCTAAATTAAAAAGATTTATGAAGATCTAAAAATTGTTAATATAAAAATAATTAATTAGAGATTTCTATTTCCAAAAAACGTTAAAAATTTTTTTTTGAAAACTTGTATTTTGCAAAAATAATTTGTTAATTAAAGATGCTGTATTTTTAAAAGTATGTGCAGCATTCATTGATTTTTATCGACTTAACGGTAAGTTGATTAAAAGCTGATTACATAAGCTGCGAGTAATAATAGTATCATTTGTTTATTCTTTAAATAAATAATTATTTGATTAAATTTATTTTGTTTAGGTGAAAACAATTTGATTCAGTGTTTTATATTACCCCTCTCTCACTCCAGACCCTTCCCTCTTCTTAATAAAAAACATTTAAGTATGTATATCAAGAAGTTTTAATTATTGAAGTCTTCAAATAAACCATGTATTACAGTCAACCCTCCGTAAATGCACTCCTTTGGAACTATAGACAAAAATTTTAAAATTGTGCATTTAGGAAGGGTGTGTATTTATGGAATGCGTTTTATTAAGTGCTTTATATGATTGTTGCATTTATAGGGATAAGCGCATATATTCTCAAATATCAATTGTTCACAACTTAGTCGACCGACTCTGCATATTAGTCAACTTGAAATAATTATCGGCTAAAGCTAAAACTTGTCAGCTTGGGTCGATTCGTTAGCATCCCAGGTGCGAGAGGGATCAAACGAAGTTACGGGACGCGTGTTTTGTGATATCTAATACAAACCTAATTACAAACATAGTGTAAGAAACCAACAAAACATAATTATATTTATTGATCCGTAGCGTAGCGGATGCATTTCGACCAAAAATAGTTACTTTTATATCTTTATAAATACCATATCAAAAGCACAATTTTGAAATTCATCTGTTCACACGCGTGTTCAAAATTGTAATTTAGTGTAATAAAAAAAAAATGCAAATTCACGCGTTTGTGCGATACTCGTATATGTTCCAGATCTATAACTGATAATACTACGCATTTTCCTAGTATGCACGTACGTATGAACGTAGAACTATAACGATAAGAAATCAAATATTTCCTTAAATAGAAATTAATATTTCCTAAATTATTAAACATCAATGATCTAATTATAGTTTAGACGCCAAATGTACTATAATTCTATATCTTCTTTTGGCAACATGCAGATACGTACTGATAATGAAGTCATATACTTGATTTTATATCTACTTGATCATACGTCGTACACTAACTCTAAATAGCATAATCTGTCAGGTTACCATTTCTTAAATTTGTTATGCCAAGAAAAAATCAGTCTATTATTATTTGCTAATGTATTAGGAAATCATTATTTATAGTTTGTCTCTATTGACATCAATAAAATAGAAAATTATTATTTATAAATTGTAACACTATCTCTTAAACTAGTAAATGTACACAAAGAAAGGTACACTTATTAAACTAACGTACGTAGCAATGCTCTTTTTATTTATTCTATTCGCTAAAAAATTAAATAAGGATTAATTAAATTTGAGTTTGAAAATCTTATTTGGATTTCGAAATGGGAATGTTTGGATATCCTCATAAATAAACTTTTCATCGACAAAGATTATCATTTCAAATTAATTATAAAATGAAATAAAGTTAATATATCGCACACTTGATAGTAAATATGTCACCAATATCAATTAAAATTAGATTTCCGCATTTAATTTTGAAGCCCCCTATTTCTTGATCAGAGACTTTATTGCTATATGATAAAAAAAAACTTATGGGAATAAATCGTTATCCTTAGCTGCATCTAATCTTTACATGTTCACCTACGTACATATCATT